AAGCACTGAGCGAGGCTGAGGCTACAGGTCAGGAAGTTTTCGATCAAGTACCAAGCTGAGGGTCAGAGATGGTAAAGCATAAAGTTCAAATGTCAGATGCAGGTTGAATCTCAGGTTCAGAATAAGTCTGAAGATCAAAATGAGGGTCAAATTTAAAGTTAGGGTGGGGTCAGGCTTAAGATCTCGGATGGCCTTCACTTGAAGGTCAGTGTACCCGGTGAATCAGTATCTGGATTGCCATTATCCTCACGTGAACTTCAGGCAAACAGGTCAGGCCCCAAGTCTACTTCCTCAACAGAGTCAGGCTGATGGTCCCATCACCTGTAAGCCTTCGGTTGAAAGTAACGGTGAAGGTCATCGTGAGCTTGAAGTGTCATTGTGACACTGAGATTCAATGTCAAGATCAAATTCAGGGTGTGCAAATGTGATCACTTTGGCTAGGGTTTATTTTTAGGATCCGTAAGATGGAGGTTCAGAGTCAATGTGAAGGTGACTGCTCAGCATCAGGTTAAAGCCATGATGGGAGCAAGGGCAGGACTTGGGCGTCAAGGGTGGGACCGAGACAAAGCTCGGGTCAGGTCAGTGTGAGGGTCAGGGTTAATCCAAGGTCAGACTGAGAAGAGCATAAGGGTGGGATCAAGGTCAAGTTCAGGGACATGGTGGGGATGGGTCAGGAGCTGGATCAGCCTCTTGGTCAAGGTCAGTTTCAAGTCCAGTTAATGATCAGGACAGGTCAGGGCCAGTAAGGAGGTCAGAATGTCACAGTGAGGATTAGAGTCCAGTTTCAAGTTCATTTTGAAGCTCAGAACAAGAAAAAATATGTACACTATATTCGGTATTGGGTATGGAACCCAGGGCCTTCACGTGGAGCTACACCCATTCCCAGCTCTTTTATATTTTGAAATGGGGTCTTGTTAGGTTGCTAAGTTGCCCAGTTTGGGTTGGACCTTGTGACCCTCCTGCATCAGCCTCCCAGAGTGATGAGATGACAGTGTGCGCCTCCATGTCCAGCCAGAAAACACATTTTGCATAGCAAGAGTCTTCTAGGAGGTTTCTAAGCACAATATCCATTTCTGTAGTAGCTACAGGGCGACTCAGGCTACACACTTCTTGAGCGGACCTTTCAAGGGGTTGGCCCATTTTATCTGCATTGTTGGTTGTATCAAATAAAGTCCAACTATGCCCTGATATTTTCAAATATCTGTGCAATCTGTAAAGATGACACGTCTGTCATCCTCAGAGGAGAAATCTGAGTCTTTTCTTCCTCCGCCTTGATGAGGCAGCTGGATGTCTGGCAGTTTTATAGCTCTCAGACATAGCTTTTGGTTTCACTTCTTTGTTCCAGTCTCATCTGTATTCTCTTGCTTTTGTCTGAATATCACACACTCCGTTTTCTCTTTTGAAATCCTGTTCATTTGTTTTTTGAGACAGGGTCTCGCTGTTCTGCTCATTGGACCTTCAACTGGACTCAAGGGATTTCCTGCCTCGGCCTCCCAAGAACCTGGAAGGACAGATGCACACCACCATGCCAAGTGCCAGACTTTTTTAATATTATCATACATCTCTCAGAAAGATTATAAACTAACCTCTAAGCACGGCTATAGCTGTAGCACAAGCACTGCTGTCTATCAGTACTAGCTCACATTCTGTTTTTCATTGCCGTTAATTTTAGAAGTGTTTTTCTTAGTTTTCAAATGCATAGGAATTTATGTTATGTTGTTACTGGTTTGTTGTTTAATTACTTATAATAAAAACGTACCTCCTATCATTTTGAGCCTTTGAAACTTGTTGACTCCTATTATGGCCAGTATATATGTGGTCAGTGTATTGTTTCACAGACCCGAGAAGAATATGCACTGCGCATTATCTGGTTCTGTGTTCTCTACTGGACAAGGATTCACAGCTGCCTAATCACATGAAATTACTCACTGACTAGGCCAAACTTGAGTCAAGCTTCTCTCCCTGCCTTAGGCCGCTGCACTTTGGCCCATGCTTAAGTGTAAACATGGGGTAGAAGGTAGGCCTGCTCCCTTAGGTCCCCATCCAAGAATCCGGAGACCAAGGAAATATTTCTGTAAGTCCATGGAGACTCCACTGTGTGCTCCCCACCGCTTGCCTCCCTCTCCCGGTGACTTTCTGCTGGCCCTGCTTGCCCCGCCCTCTAGGACAGGAACACCCTTCCCCATTTGATTTTGAGATCCTTGCAGATCCTGAGGTCAGAGTGCTCTCTGCACTGCAACGGTTATTTCTAACAGTCCCTCAACCCTAGATTGTTTTCTGGCAATACACAACCATTAGGTCAACCTGTTCATCTTCTGGGTGAAATGGCCTACCTTCTCAATTGTTTGGTCTTCTTGCCCACTCTTTCTTGCAGAGTTATTTTAAACCAACCACTTTGGAAGTGGGTTTATCTGAGTTTTAGTTATGTTGCTATTTATGGCAAAATGTAAAAGTTTATGTGCATAGAAATTAAAATTTTTTGTTAATGAAATGAATTCATTATTACAATTTAATTTGTGTACCCCTGAGTAATGGTCTCCTTCAAAATTTGTTTCATATCAAATAACTAAAACACATCATGTTATTTTTTATTCTTTTGCTCACAGATTTCTGGCATTTGCATTTTAGCTCCCCTTCCCCTTTTTTGCTTCTGGCAGTATAGGGCATGAACCCAGGCCCTTCACACTGACCTGTATCCCCAGCCTCGTTTTTTATTTTTGAGACAGGGTCTTGCTAAGTTGCCCAGCTTGGGCCCTAACTTGAAATCCACCTGCCTCAGCCTCCCATAGTAGTGGGATTACAGGTGTGTACCACTAGTCCTCACTCCAGATGCCTCTTTCGCAAATACAGTTTCATGTTTCTTTTTGATCACAACATTTGTTTCAGGAAGAATATGTGTTGTATAAATTTAAATTACTAAACTTTTAGCTGGGCATGGTGGCACCTTCCTGTAATTCCAGCTACTCAAGAGGCTGAGGCAGGAGGATTGCAAGTCTGAGGCCATCTTGGACAATTTAGCAATACTCCATCTAAAACCAAATCAAAATAAAAAAAGAAGCAAACTCTCCCAATATATCACTACTACTTTTTAGTTTAAAATTATCATTATACTATATGCTATATATTTATACCTGCTGTTATTTGTACATTTTTATTATTCCATTTTTTTCTTGAAATTTTGGGTGTTGATTTTTTTTTTTCAGTACTGAGTTTTGAACCCAGGGCCTCATGCAGGTTAGGCAAACACTCTATTAAGGAGCTACACCTTAGTCCTATTTTTACTTTTTTTATTTTTTCAAGACAGAATCTTACTAAGTTGCCCAGAATGGTCTTGAACTTGAGATCCTTCTGCCTCAGTCTTGAGTATCTGGGATTACAGGCATGTGTTACCATTCCTGCTGCTTAGTCTTTATCCACACAAGGAATACCAACATTATGTACTAATAAAAATACAATAAGGGCAACAACAGTAACTAGTCCTGGTTTTGAGGATTAAATGAGGGTTTAAATGTCAGGGTCCTATGGTGGAGAAGTAACTTGGGAGAAAATACTGAGCTGATACCTAAGATGGCAAAACAGACACATGGAGTAGTCACTGAATATACAAGAACAGTGTTCCAAGTTGAAGAACTCTCTTTTTAGATGATGTATCCCCATATCTGCCCCTCTCAAAAACTTGCAATGATTCCCGGTTAGCTGCTAAAGGATACTTCAGTGAAGGAAACGTCCCATTTCCAAGTCAGCCCTGCCCTCTCCTGTCCCAGAGGCTTTCCAGGTAGGTGAGCCATGGTGAGTCACCTGCCTTTCTAAGCTTCTGTTTCCTCTCCTGTAACATCTACTAGAAATAGCACTGCCCAGGGTTGCCTTGAAGATGAAAATGAAGAAAAGTTAATGTAATCAAACAATTACTTTATTGCCTGATACCAAATAACTTTCACATCCTTCAACATACAATTGCTCAGAATTTCCTCAATATTAAGTAGGGCTTTACTTTCCTGCTTTCTGGATTTTCTTTCGTTATTCCAAATGTCCTTCCACCTGTCTCCCCAGGTCTTCAGTTCTAATCCTTAGGCTAGCAAGTCAGTAGGCCGACCAGAGAGACTACTGAAATACCCCGGTCCCTGTTGTGCCCAGATCGCGAAGTCCCCAAAGACCACCAAGGAGCCGATTCCGATGTAAACACACGAGGGTCGTTTATTCAAGCTCGAGCAGGGGCACTCAACCGTCACCGACACCGCGGATCGGGATTGAGAGCCCCGAATTTCAAATCAGCAGGGTTTTTATTGTGGCTACAGCAAGGTTTGGGGATTTTCCATTTAGCAGTTACATGATTGGTTGATATTTAGCAAGCATGGGGTGTACATCGCGGGGGTTGAGGGGTGGCTACACGTAGATTTTATGGGAAAAAGGAACAATCAGCACATTGACAGAATGTTCTATAGATAATGGGCCCGGGAGCATCTGTTTTCTGGGCAGACAGAGGACTGAGTTAGGAGCTGCGTCTTTTTTTTTATCTGTTGTCCCACAGCAAGGACATTTTATCATTATTTTATGGGCACAAAGGAGACTGGGGAATAGTTGACTCCAGCGAAGTGGAATTTATGTCAAGGCCACTTTACTGTCTTATTCCAAGATGGAGTCAAACTTTAAAATGGAGTTTGTTAGGTCTCACATTCCCATTCTCTAGCTCTGCCTTTTACTTTTTGTGTGACGGCTGAACTTCCTTACCCTCTCAGGTCTCAGTTTCTCACTTATAAAATGGAGGTGACTACTCTACAGAAAGGCTGAGACATAGATGTAAATCCGAGCAGGTGCAAGGAGTTTAGAACAGTGCCCCGCACAAAGTAAGTACTAGATCCACTCGTGCTAAGTGTCTGCCCCTGCGTCAGGGATGACTTCCCCGGAGGTGAGCATTAATCTCTCCATCCGAGGTGCCTAGAAAAAGATAAACACTGCAGTCCATTTGAAGACACTAATACAGGGACCTAAGTAGAAGAGAATGGAAATGAGGAAGTGGATTTTGGTGGCGAGGGGCCCGAGTACTCGAGGGGCCCGAGTACTCGAGGCCAAGGGCCAGGGCCAGGGCCAGGGCCAGGGCGCCCCAGGGCCGGAGGGGGGGGGGGGGGGGACGGCCGCACGGGGCGTGTCTCCGTGTGTCCCCTTCCGCCGGGCGTGCCCGGGCGCGAGGCGGGGCCGGGGCGGTGCAGTCGCCAACCGGGCGCAGAGCAGCAGTGCGGCGTCGCCTTCTCCGACGTGCTCGCTCAGGTAAGACCGGCCGCCTGCGTCCCGCCTGCGGGGCCGTGTTGCACCCACCAGCCTGCGCGGCGCGGTGAGGGCGCCAGGAAGGCGGGGTGTGTGTGGGGGGGTCTCAGTGGACTCGGATCGCTGTGCTTGAGAATCAGGGATACTGGGGCAAGGGAGCAGACGCGCGTGTGTACGCCCACCTGTCCCCGCTAGCTGGAGTCCTCACTTCACCACGCCCCGGGCGATCCACTTAGCCCTGGCAGCCTCTTCTTTTTTAAAGATCCTGGGGACGCAAAAGAGCAGGGAGTCAGAAGGATCCCCGGCGTCCCCGGTGGAATGGCTCGGAGCTCGGGGCTGCGGACCTGCGCCCATCATGCTGCGAGCGCGCTCTCCTCGCAAGGCTGCGCCTTCTCTGCGGCTTACTTTTTAGTGCGGAGTCGGGGTGAAGGGGATTAGGAGCCCACTGGGCGAGAAGACGGAGTTTGCTCTTCCCAGGAGAGACGCACCGTTTTATGTGATTGCACAGAGTAGTGCATTCTCTAGACATGAGTCAGGCCTCTGGCATTCGCGCCCGCAGGTGTGGATCCGGGGGGACGGCACCCGGAGTCCGGAAAGCGCGGTGGCCGCCGCCTGCAGGTTCCGGGACGCGGGGGCCTCTCTGCTGCTCCTGGGCAGCCGATTTCTGTTCAACACCCAAGGCTGTGCCCTTCCGGAGAGCCAGACGCTTTTCCACCTCGATCAGCAACATCATTAAAACGGTAGCTAATTAAAACGTTACTTCGTGAAGATACTGCGTTGGATTTCATGAAGACACAAAACTTCAGACTGAGCAGAAAGGAAATTTTTAAAATGTAAAGAAAACCAGACCGTTGTTGCCAGAGCCATTTGCTTGTGTGAAGAAATCTGTTTAGAAAGAAGCAGGGAGGAGGAAGTAAAAGGAAATGTGTAGCCCCTGAAACGCTTTCAGGAAGGAAGTGTTTAAAGTTCTATTGTTTAGGGCGTTTGGCCTCCACTGTGGAGTGTTCTTAAAAGTTAAGTGATACGTCAGTAACGATTCTTAATATTTTAGAAATCATACTGAATCAAACAGAACTAGTATCAGTTTGGGCCAGGTATGTGCCGGGGACGGGGGGTGAGACCGAGGACCCGGGTTAAGTTCATGCCCTTGGAGTCTGGCTGACTCCTTAGTTCCGCTTCACCTTAGCACTGACTGTAGAGCTTTATCCAACCCCTCTGAGACCCTGCTCCTGCCTATGCAAATGGAGGTTTTATTAAAGACCGCCGACTGACTCACTGGATTATTTAAGGTTATGTTAAGTTAGTCATCTGACAATTTTTTTTAATACCTACTATGTATGCTACAGTAAAGAAATATAGCAAAAACACCGACCTTGCAGGTTGACCTTCTGGTACTTTTGTATATTAGCTGGCATTTAGTAGGAACTCAAGATATTGTCTGATATTACAGATGCATTAACTGAGGCTCAAAGAAATTGTGTCTATCTTGAAGAGCAAAAGCAGAACTAGGAGTCCCCTGTATCCACTGTGTACTGTAGAGCAGGAGAGCTGGAAGACCAGACTCTTAACTGGACAAGCCTAGTCTTTGGAGTGCATGGGAAACCCAGGCCTAAATATTCCAGGAACTGGGAGTATGATTTCCTTTTGAACTCTGCTCTGGGATTATTGTTAGATTTTTTTTAGAATATTTTGTTTCCAGGATGGGTGGGAGCAACTTGTGTTTCTAAATCAACCCTGGAGACAGGCCAGCAAGTTGGAATGCACTGGAGGGAGGCATGCTGTGTTCCCAAAGACCTGGCCCTTCACCTCTGCCCCCTCCAAGACCGGCTGGCTTCCTGCAGGAGCAAACAGGTCTGCTTGGAGCCCTGCAGAATGTGACTGAGGTTCACAGGAGGAGGAATCCAACTAAAAGCCAGCTAAAATCTGTGTTGATTTGCTGGGGGAGGAGCGGTTTTCTCTGCTCCTTTTTGCCCTGTGATGGCTGTGTGTCCTGACTGAAAGAAATTAGCAATATGGTAATCTGTAATCCCAGCACTCTGGGAGGCTGAGGCAGGAGAATCACAAGTTTAGGCTCAGCTTGAATTTAGTGACTAAGCAAGACCATGTTTCAAAATAAAAAATAAGAACAGGGTGGGGATGTAGCTCAGTACATAGACCCTGGGCTCAATTCCCAGGCAATAGCTCTACTGGATTTTTTTTTTTTTTTTAGACTGATATTGCTGTGTTGCCTAGGCTGGCCTTGAAGTCCTGGGGTCCACTGATCCTCCTGTCTCAGCCTTCTGAGTACCTGGGTCTATAAATTATAAGTGTACCCATCTCTCCTGGCTTCTGGGTTTTAAGTAAGTCAAAAATAGGGTGTTCAGGAAGCATATTCTAATAAGCCCTTAAGTATAGAGATTTTTTTTTCTTCCTTGTCATGGGGCCCTTACAGGTCTAGCATAGTTTTTTGTACATGCTAAGTGCCCAGTACATATTTGTTTTCTGGTGCCTGCCTTGCAAGCACAAGGTCCTGAGTTCAATCTCCGGTACCAAAAAAAAAAAAAGATTTAAACTATTTGTTTAGTAAATGGATTCCTGCTGTCAGAGACACATTCTTTTTCTGAGAAGGTATTTCTCTGAATATTGATTTCTGTTTTCTGGATTAAAGATTAAGAGTTGGCGCCAGGCATGGCCTGTACAGGTATAGAGACACAAACCTGTAATCCCAGCACTCAGTAGGCTGAGGCAGGAGGCTAACCTGGGCTACACAGTGAGTTCAAGACTAGCCTGAACTACATAGCAATACCTGTCTCAAAAAAACCCAAGACAAAAAAATGATAAAGAGCTGGACTGAAATGATTGTAAATCACAGATTTATACAAGTTAGTGTTGTTTTTTTTAAATAGGTCAGTGTCGCCTCAGGAAGGAAAAGGTGGGATATCATGGCTTCCGTCTGGGTAAGTAAAATCCAAGCCTTCACAGCACAGTGACTTATCAGAGTCAAATCAAAATCCAGAAAATCAAAATATCAAGCCAGGAGTGGTGGCGCACACCTGTAATCCCAGCACTCAGGAGGCTGAGGCAGGAGGATCACCATGAGTTGGAAGCCAGCCTGAACTACATAGTGAGACCCTGTCTCAAAAACAAAACAAAACAACAACAACAAAAAAAGAAAATCAAAGTATTATGAAAAACGTTTTGGAGGTTGATAAAAAGTTGATCTGAAAACATGTCAAAAAAAGCTAGCAAATGTGCAAAAGTAATAAAATATTTTAAAATGTGTAATAGAGTTACATAGTTAATTTGTGGTGATACCAAAGCAGAGAAGTCAAAAACAGAATAAGTTTAATATATGATTTATATCTATTATATGATGTTACTTGTATTAATTGGTAAAGATAACACTTCACATCAGCAAGGAAAAGATAGCTTTTTCAATAAATATACTTAGGAAAATTTTCAGCTGTTTGGGGAAAAGTAAATCTGTCTTCCTTTTCCCTTCTTACATTAAAATGTAAAATGCAGATGGGTAAAATATAGAAGTGAAGGAGATGTGATATAGTAGATAAAGTTGTAAAATAATCTGACAGTGGGAGAAAGTAATTACACAGTGACCCCAAACGAAAGCCTAAAAGAAAAACATTGATTTGTTTAATTACATATGACTTTACAATTATGACAGCAACCAGTTAGTAGCCTCAGAAGACAACCTACTGGTGAAAAATATTCGCAGTACATTAGACAAAAGACTTTATTCCTTTCACATACAAGTAACTTGAATAAATCAATTTAAAAACTGAACTTGATGGAAGATTTGCAAGACACCTAAATAGGACATGAAAAGAATTGCAAATATCCATTGAACATAGAGAAAAATGCTGCATTTCACTGAGAATAAAAGAAATGTAGATAACAGAATGAGAAGCCATTTTCTACCTCAGAAAGTAGAAAAAGTGAAAAATACATAGCATAACCACAGTGACGGAGGCCGTGGGCGAGACGGGCCCTCGTCCTCTCTTCATGGCAGAATAAATTCGGCATACTTTGGGGTGATATGTGGTCATTACCTTTCAGTGTTTACGTGCATTATTGTTGAACCCAGTAGTTCCAGTTTTGAGGATATATCGTGTAGACTTAAATAAGTTTGAAAAAATACAGGTCTAAAGATAGTCATTTGTACTTGTTTGTAGTTTTAGCCTTTTTAATGTGATCATTAAAGGAATTGGGGGAAAATAGGGAGTCAGCTGTATATGTACTAATACAGAAAATACAGAATAGTACATACAGAGTGATTCTGGTTAAAAGGACAAGAATGTGCAATAAGACTATATTCCATGGAAACTTTTTAGAAAGGTAAAGATAGGGCACACGTACAGTGGACCGTTGACTTAAGAACTTCGTCAGTTCCCAAGAGTTGTTTGTAACTAAGTCAACACAGCTGAGATCTGGATGTTTACCTGGGTACGCTCTATAGATAACAAGAGGCAGATGAATCTTCCATTAACCTAATTAACCCAAGTTGTTCGTATATCAGGCCGGTGGTAACTTAAGGGTCCGCTGTACTTTTCAGTGTATCACTTTCTGTGCTCTTGGATTTGCTTTTGAGACAAGTTCTTACGCGTAGTTCAGGCTAGCCTTGAGCTCTCTGTGTAGCCCAGGCTGGTCTCATACCCAGGGTGAAGCTCCTGCCTCAGCTTGCTGAGTAGTGGGATTATAGGTGGCTTTTTAAAACTATGACCAAGTATTTTAGAAGATTTTCGAGATGAGTCTCAGAGCTTTAAACTAAGGTGCTTGGCACTGCTGTCCTTTCTGGAGACTTTGGGGAGAATCCTCTTTCTAGCCCACTTAGGTTGTAGCTTTCAGTAAGCAAAGTGAGGTCTCTGCCTCCAGTGGGGCTGACTTATCTCCTAGTGGCCTCTGCTGGTCCTTTGCTTCTGGGTGCAGCATCTAGAACTAGCCAAAGGGCATCGAATCCTTCTCACTTGTGGAATCTCAACCTTTCCTTTTTGGGCATCCCTCTTCCACCTTCCCCTTCCTTTCCCAGCTGGAGACAGTTCCCTGCTTTTAGGTTTCCTGATCAGATTGGGCCCACCCAGATAAGGCAGGATAATCTCCTTGGATTATGCCGATCCCAGAGAGCAACTCAGAACTGCTATGAAGAACAAGATGGTAGTTCCTCAAAAAGCTAAAAGCAAAGCTACCATATGATTGAGCATCCTACTTCTGGGTACCAATCTAGGGTGTTGAAGAAATATTTGCACACCTGTCCTCATGGCTGTTCTTCACAGTAACCAAGAGGTAGAGGCAGCCCAGTGTTGGCCCACAGGTGAGTGGATAAACAATCTGCAGTCCATGTGCTCAGTAGAGGAGTATTCAGCCTTTGAAAGGAAGGGACTCTTGCCACAGGCATTCACGGATGAACCTGGAGCATATTATGCTAAGTGGAGCAAGCCTCTCATAGAAAGACAAATATTCTATGATTCCACTCATACAAGGTATCCAAAGGATCCCAGCTCATAGAAACAGATGCCAGGGGCCAAGGGAGGAAAATTGTTTCAGTAGAGTAGAGTTTCAGTTCTGCAGAATGAAAAAGTTTGAGTGATCTCTTTCAGAACAATGTAAATGTTCTCATCACAACTGAATTGTACACTTACAAACATGGTTGATGTTCAACAAAAATTCAGGTTTCCTGTTGTAGGTACTCATGTCACAGAGTGCTGTCACAGAGCCCAGGCTGAGGCCCAATGCACTTAGAACCCAATACTGTGACACCAAGGTTTTGCAAAAATAAATCGCTTCACTGCACTGTTGACCAGCAAGGAAGTCAGGAGCTAAAGGGAGCTCAAATCTGCCTTCCCATTGGTTGATAGAAGGAGCATGGGTGGGAAGGGAGAGAGGAGAAGCTATGTGGTTGGATGGTGAGAAGAGGGGTGTTTGGGTCCTTTGCATAGGTATGAGCAGTTGTCATGTTTGTTTCAAGGGCAGGTACCACATTGTGTGAGGGGAATTGGGCTTATGTCACCAAAAGGTCATTGACTGGCTTCTTCTGTACATGTCCATTCTTGAGGAGTTTTTTCCCTCCTTGAGTGGATTCTGGAGGCTTTTCCTGAACTGATGCCTGAGTGTGCCCAGGCCTTAGCTGATTTCATTTCTTTCGTTCTTTTTCCCTCTTAGACAAAAAAGCACATAAGCACCCAAATGCACACAAGCCATCAAGTGTACCCATATCTGGAAGTCTGGAGATCAGTTTGAGCTTCTCAGTGTGTAGTTGATTTATTAGAATAATGTGATCAAGGGCAGCACAGTGGTGTTGTATGAGAAAGAAGGGCTAGTTTCTTAGGTCTTTTATATTCTATTTAGGGCTGTTGCAAAGCTACCATTGTTTCAGATAAATACTCTCAGTTGCATTGGTATTTTGTTTATTTTGAAGTTTTAAATGTCCCTGTTCAGGCATATGTCCTACCTCACTTCTTGATAAAAAGGCCTGGGATTAAGCCATGCACCATCATGCATGGCTTTCATTTTATTCTAAAAACATATTCCTTTCTATATAATATCCCTGCAACTATTTTAGTAAAGGAGCTTCTGTGTATTTCCTGGACTTGATTTTATTTCAAATCAACAGCATGTCCTCCCCAGTGAAATGGCTGTCTTTGAGCTGTCTGAGACAGGGCCAGTCTTTAAATAGATTCTTTCTGACCACTTCTATTTTCAGTATTTTATAGTATTTTAAACACACATATACCATTAAGACATCTAGTGCTCTGTTTCTACTCCAGATGGGTGGTAGGATGGAATCCAGTTTGCACCCTTCCTGGAGTCACCATCAGATTCCACAGGTTCAGGAGCTCCGTCCTGTGGGACTCTGCTCCCACTTCCAATGCCAATCACAAGTCTTGGTTGCTACCCACACTTCTGACTGTCTGGCCATAAATGTGGGAGTGTCAGTTATACCCCCTCCAATTTAAAATTCACTAGCCTGATTGGAGAACTTGCTGAAAGAGCTGTACTTCTGTTTGGAGATTTATTACAAGGGGTACACACAGGGCAGGATCTGGAAGGGTCCTGCTAGGGTGTGTCCATGCCCTCATCCCATGGAGTCAGGGTGGGCCAGCCTTCCTGCCGATCTCCACCAACCAGGAAGCATCTCAGAGCCCCAGTGTGCAGAGTGTTAATCAAGGTTCCCTTATGTAGATGTAATTGATTCAATTGTTTATCGCATGGTTGAACTCAGTATCCAGCTCCTTTTCCTTCTCAGGTCAGCTGACCCAGTGTTCCAGCCCCCTAACTGTGTGCTTGGTCTTTCTGGTGACTGGCTAATATCCTGAAGCCTCCTAAGGGTCTTCCAGGACTCACCTCAGGAGCATAACAAAGACACTTCTCTATCTCCCAGGAAATCCCCAGGACTTTTAAAACTCTACCTAGACTAGGACAAAGACGAGATATATTCCTTATCATACCTCACATGTATAACTTGCATGAAAGCAGAGTTTCCAAAACAGCATATCCTTTTATTTTTATTAAAATTGTATTGACACTAATGGCACTAGTTACAAATGCTGATCAGAACCTCTGATTTTAGTTATAGCTTTAATACTGAGGGAACTGGGAAAATGAGTTCACGTTTTGTAATAAACACTGGCAAACAGAATCATTCAAAGACATGGGATTCATATAGAAAAACCTGAAAAGGAATCCTTACTAGGGGAGACATGGAAACCTAGTGACGTGAGGTGGAAACTTGCAGACAGGAAATGTTTGCTTGTGAAAGTGAGCTCATGAGGCCAGCTGGAGAGCAGCAGTGCCCCTTCCCTTTTCCCCTGGGAATCAGCTGGGCGAAGGAGGACACAGGAGGACACAGGGCTCTCATTTCTGCTGGTGACCAGAGGAGTGGCAGCCACAGCGGAGCTCTCAGGCAAGGTGTAGTGTCCTGAGATGAAAGCGTTTGGGGAAGGTA